CTAATCTAAGATGTCCTACTCTATCTCATTATAAATGGTATAAAGACATCTTCTCTAGACTTCTTCAAAGAGAAGATAGCAATGCTGACCATTGGAAGGAAAAATTCATATCTGGCTTACCATATTTGTTCGCCGAAAAAGTTAAAAATCGATTAAAAAAAAAAAATGGGGGAATAATACCATATTCTGCTTATACATTAGGAGAATTATCAGCCGAAATTTGCGCAGAAGGCCTTGCCCTATGCACAGATTTAAAACTTAAACGACAATTAGATAAACAAAGAATGACCGGGAAAAAAGAGTTATGAGACTTCTGTGAACAGTTTGGTTATAAGACAAACCCGGCTCCAAATAAAACATCTCAAAAGAAAAATAAAAAACACATGCTTAAACAAAAAAAAGAAAATAAAGATAAATTTATAAAAAAAATCATGCCTAAAGCTTAATTTAAAAAAGAAAAAAAAAATTACCATTTTGTTATAAGTGTGGAAAAGTTGGGCATTATAAAAATAATTGTCGAGTTAAGAAAAAGATTGATGCATTACTACTACAAGATCATATCAAAGAACAAATATATGATATTATTCAAATAAATAAAGACTCCGAAGGTAGCACATCTGATTCTGACTCCTTAGCAGGAATAATTGAAGACGAAATTTAATATGGAGTAGTTCAGAAGAACAAACCAACTCTGATTCAGATGAATCAATGAAAGACTGTTTTTTTAATACCCTCAATAATAAAGAGAACCTAATATTAGATTTAATAGAAAAAAATTTTGACCCAGAAGATAAAAGAGAAACTATAACTCAATATATAAAAATGACTAAAACCAAAAATAAACCCACACCTCTCATTAAAACACAAGAGGAATATAGCTTTTCTGAAATAATGAAGAGAATAAATAAAACCCAAAATCTACAAAAGGAACCTACTATATCTGAGTTAAAACACAAAATTAATGAAGTAAAAACAGATATACAACAGCTAAAAAATAGGATAAGAATATTAGAATTAAATAATAATTTTTCTGTTGATATAACAGACAATGATGATGATTTAGATTTTGATGAATTAATAAAACCCTATAAGGAAGACACATTGCCTAGTAATCTTGAATTTCCAGAATCATCTAACACAGGTAAAAAGAATGACTCTGTAAATCTTATAAATAAAGTTATAACTCAAAAATGGTATACTCTAATCAAAATCATAGTCAATAATGAATATAGTTTTCAATCTCTAGCACTTACAGATTCAGGGGCTGATCTAAACTGTATAAACGAAGGATTGGTCCCTAATAAATACTTTGATAAAACCACTCAAGTACTTAATACTGCAGAGGGTAGTAGACTTTTAATCAAATACAAATTATCTAAAGCTGCTGTTTGTAATAATGGAAATGGTTTTGAAATACCTTTTAGTTTGGAAAAAGTTAAAGCACATAGTGATACTCCTGGTTTTATTTGAAAACATACCATGTTACATGAGAAGATATTTTCTTGAAAGCTAAGAATAAAACAAATAAAAAGAACGGTGTCTCTATTGTTTATGCACATTGATTTGCATGATTTAATATGCATAAATTGTATCTTTCGGCATGCATTTCATATATTACACCGAACATAAACAAAGCATGCTTGAGTACTTTCATTTGCATGTCCATGTGAAACCTCCACTTTATTAGGGTCCTCATAGGCTTAAAGGGAGCTTTCTCTAGGAAAGGAACAGCTAGATCCTTCAGAATGCTCTCTAGGGCAGATGAAAGTATCCCGGTCAATGGTAACTTTTCTCAGTTCACCTCATGGGTTTGACCAAACTTCTTTCACTGTGAATATTACCATGGACCAAACACCAGGGAAGGTGTATTTCGACCCCAGTACTCTGATATATCACATTTATTCATATCCAAGATCAATCTTCAAAAATAAATAAATAATAAATAAAAAATAAAAAATGAAAAATGATTTCCAATTCAAAAAGTACTCCAAATCAATTTCGACACGTGTCATTTACATTATCGATGCATGGGTCCACAAAAATGTTATCTTTAAAGGAAATAGGGCGAATGTATCTTTACAATGCTGATGTTAAACAATAACAGGAAAGTATATCTCACACAAGCCTACCCCAAAACCCATTTTCAGTTAGAAAAGTAGTTTTTTTATAAATAGGAGCATTCTAGACCACGTACTCCATAGAGCATCCCACCTCTGTGGTCGCCCCCAAATCATTCCTGTAGCCTAGCATATTGCATTGACAGAATCACCAACCACAGGCAAGATGCGGAAGAATGATGTTATGAATATTATGATCTAAAAGGACTCTTGCCTCTGGAATTGGAGTATAGCCACTCCAACTCAACAGGACATGGATCTAGTAAAGCCCAAGGCTTATGCAGGTTAATGCTTACCAAAGGAGCAGCTATCAAAATAAAGCTCCAAAGACCTTTGCAGGGCATCTCCATGCCTCCATTGTGTTAGTCGTAATATGTCAGGGGTATATTGGTAATTTTATACACTGTTGTAGCTTATTCTTGTATTAGTTGTTCATGCTCATTGTAAAGGACAATATGTACCTTCTGGATTTAATTTGTAGCCTTATCTAGCCCTTCATTAATTAGGGTTAGGAACAAAATAACATATATCTTTGACTGCAGCCTCTCACTCAATGAATTAGGAGTCACGTCCCTCTTCTGTTTTTCTCTCCATCCATTTCTACCTGTACTACAACTTGTTCTTCTCTCTCAAGTATTCAAGGTGATATTTAACACATGGGTGCTTCACTCCTCACTATGCTCCTAAATCATGCGCTAGAACATACTTTCTTACAAACTCTTCTGTGGCTATTGCTTATGATAGCACATCCTAGTTCCTCCTTCTAAAGAGACTATTTTATTTTGAAATTCTAGAGATTCCAGATTTAAATACTTGCCACTCTATACCTATTTGCTCGTCCAGAATGACTATGATTTAACTTAATCATCAACCATTCGCAGATAAACCCAGGATAATTTTGTCATGGAATTAAAAAGCTCAATAGTAGTGTTATCTGTTGCTATGATCAAGGGTAATCCAGAAGTTTTCAACAACTCATAGACCTGTCAAGCTTGCAAACATGCACACAAGTGCACGCGTGCACGCATACATACACGCACATGCACATGAGCGTAAGAACACGCACACACATAAAATAAATATGATGCTTGCTAGAAGATCAGTAGTTAAGAGTCTAATTGACACAGGTACTCAATAAAAACAGCAGTATAAATCTAACTACTAGAGAGACTCCATAAGTAAACGCTATAAATAGAAGAAAGTGTATACAGTACGCATCTATAGAGGCTCTTTAGTATTTTATTTTTTATTTCTATTTTTTTAACTCTCAGCTATTGGACACTTTATATATGAGAGCATGTTTGTCATTCGTTTATCTTAGACCCACAATACCACACAAACATATTGATTGCCAATGAATCCTATTAATATTTTGGGGTTGCACAATTCAATAAGCAAACTTATGGACAAGGATGAGCATAACCAAACAAATGGCAAAAAATCAATATTTGACTTTTAAGTTGCTCTAAGTACCCAAAGAACAAAACCCAGAATGTGTTTCTTGTATCTGTATTTTGTACACTTTTAGCATAAGCATTATGAGTTCTACTCATTGCAAGTGTTGTACACATGCTTTAGACATCTTATCTAGCTTCTATGATTCACATAACCAACTAATTAAATAAAAAGACAAATTGGTACCAGTCTCCACCATAGTTGTTGGAAATGCTTGGGAACCCGAATCATTTTAGGAACCAAAATCGAGGAATCGCGGCCGACTAGAAGATTTTTGTCTTAAGAATCGTTGTCCATACAATAGAAATCGCTAGGAACGAGATTCCTAGTTTTAGAGAATCGTGTTTCAACCGAAATAGATCCAAATTTCATCAACCTATGGAATCGAGATTCTGTCCTCCTTGGAATCGGGATTCCCATCCCCCTGGAATCGACACTCCAGGAGTCAAGATTCTTTAATATGTGGAATCGAGTTTCCGACATCCATGGATTCGAGTTTCTGACATACATGAAACATAGATATGTTGTTGTTTCGAATCGTGATTCTAACATATTTGGAATCAAGATTTTAAAGTATAGAAATCAGAGATCCATGTCAGTTTGAGATCGAGATTTACAATAATATGGACTATGGAATGCGTTTGACGACCCCTACTAAGAATCAAGATTTCATTTTTATGGAGAAATAAGCCACAAGCACATCTTGAGCCTCATCAACTTTAGAACCTATATTGGATGTCTCTTATTAGAAGGTTTCTCGAATTTTTAAGAGATTGTGTTGATTATTGAACTTATGGTTGTTATATATAAAAGACAAGTATTCCTAAATTGTGATTTTAACTTCATTATTATAAAGACAAAATAGTATTATGTCTACGCCATGGTCTTACTTTTAATTGTATGTGTTGTATTTATCAATTATATTTTAAATTTAAATTAAAGGCCATGGCACAAGTAAAATAATGAAACCTTGCAACCACTAGAAGCATTTGAAGGATGATTTCTACTTCAAATGACATGGAATCAAGATTTAAGCCTCGCTAGAATCTAGATTCGATATATGTGGGAATGTCTACCCTCAATTAATGGGTTCAAGATTTCAAAGATCTGTTGGATCGAGATTCTGAAATTAAGGAATTGAGTTTCCTTGGTTCCGATAAATGGGTGTGTTGAATCGAGATTCCGAAATTAAGGAATCAAGTTTCCTTGGTCTCCGAAAAAAGATTTCTAAAGATGTGTCGAATTGAGATTCCGAACTTAAGGAATTGAGTTTCCTTGGTTCCGAAAAACAGTTTCCGTGGAGAATCCTTAACGGAAACGTGGAATCGGGTTTCGAAACCCGAAACGCGAGGTTGGTGGAGAGATTCCGGTAACTATGGTCTCCACATAGGAAGCATAAGGCAAAAGTTGCAGCACGTAGGATCAAACCTTGAGCAAGAAAATCGCTTTGCACATCACCATCGTAATTTTTACAGGCCCAAACATATCCACCTTCACTTTTTAGAGCATAAGCCACCATGTCATCAATTAGTCGATGTTCATACCTGGATGGGAAAATACAAATTGTAAACCATTTTCAGCATGTTATGAGCTACTCAGAACATGGAGCAAACCTGGTTCACTTCATTGTTTATCAGGGGTTTAGACTTATCCTAGTGCCACACCCATAACCACTTATAAACACACATACACACGCAGTGGGAGAGATAGAATGTGGTGGTCGTGTCGTCATCTTTTTTTTTGGTTGGAGGAGGGGGAAATGATGATGGAGGCAAGGTTAATGTGTCTTTGTCGGCTATATAAGTGCATACACATACCATATTGAAGCCTTCTCAAATTTGTCTTTCCATCTCTCTTCATAAACCTCCTGAAATATGTCCTTGAACCTGTGATGGCCAATATCCAATAAGGTTAATATGGTAGGACTATTCTTTTACTAGGCAAACTAGCAAATATATTAGCTGAGATTCAAACAATGTATTGATAAGAAGTAACCCAAAGCATGTTACATAGAAAGTAACAACATTTTCATCACTTGATTCAAATGTTCAATTGAGAAACACAGTTACCTGCCATCATATTTCTTCAAGATTGTATTCTTGGTGCTCATATAAAGAGGCCATTTCTTATCGAATGCCATCGCCAGTGATGACTCAGCAAAAGACCGAATCGACTTACATCCCACAAGAATTTCAGAAATGAAAAACATGTAAAATTCAAATGTAAGAATTTTACAAAATACTAACCATTTCTTTTTTCACTAAACAAAATCAAGCTGACAATAACAATAACAACAACAACAACAACAATGATAACAAAAAATACAGTTCTCATGTCTCACCTCATCCACATTGAACATTGCTAATGCTACTCCAGGGCCCTTGAATTTATGGACATCAAGCTCCACTGGGGCATTACCATTTTCTGATTCTTGAACCCCAGAAAAGAATTAATAAGTAAAAATGGAAACATTAGAAAGAACCTTAGGAGTTCCAGTGTTATGTTATCTAGTAATCGCAGCTGAACAGAACAGATTTGTGAACTAACCAAAGATCAATTTAAGCTTTCCTGGTCCTTGAATAAGCATATCAGTGGCACGATACTGATCTCCAAAAGCATGCCTACCAACGCAAATTGGCTTCTTCCAACCTGCAATATTCAAGGTCTCAATAAATTATTACAAGGGAATTGCAAAACATATACCAACAATATGTATTTTGAAACCAATTTTATAGAAGCAAATTACCAGGCACTAAACGAGGAATATTTCTGCAAAGGATGGGTTCTCGGAATACAGTGCCTGCCAAGGATAATATCAACATATTACTATAAAATGAAATACACAAAAGGCTATTTGGCTGGTTGAAAGAGAATAAAAATCAACAAAGAGAAGAGCAAGTTACCAATAATGCCAACCTGATGTCCAGTACAATAAATGGGTAAAACCAATTGCGAAGACATGAATATTTCTTATTAAACAGGCTAGTGTATAAAACAGTCTAGTATAATTGGTCTAGTTTGAAATTTTTATTTTCTTAGTTGTTAGAAGAAGAAGCAGGATAGGAGCAGGAGCCAGACCCGGAGCAGTACATCATCCATTGTTAGAAGCTCCATGGTTTGGGAGTGCCAATAGAATAAATTCTAATTCCACAAGAATTATTGTGAAATAAAAAATACATAACCGTATATTTAGGTCCACATCAATAAATTCATAAAAAAACACAAAAGCTAAGTACAAATTTTTGAGAACTATAAAAAAAAATTGGCACCTTTCATTACCAATCTACATCTTTTCTTCCTATTGTAATAACATTTGTATTAAATTTTTGAGAGAGAGAGAGAGAGAGTTTATTTACTCACTATTTTGTTCATACTTGCTTTTTTACCAATTCGTTCTAACACATGGAAAAAGGGTCCAGCAATAATTACGGTTGCTTCTACTTGCTTCTTTATTCATTTCAAATCAATATACGTAGAGTGTCCGCATGGAATAATGGTTTAATAATAATTACATTGATATGACCAAATCCTTTATGCTACATACCATGAGATAGTTTCCTCGAGATCAGTCAAATCACTTAAGGCCTTCAAGAATGGCTATGGACTTGGGCTTGGTGGAATCCATTAGGCTGATGAAGCGCAAGAAGGAAAGGATGGTGTTGCCCTGAGTATCTCTAAATACACTCCAAAACCACAAGAGCTGGGATTTCCAATGGAACACCCGTCAGCATTGAGTTTAATGGCACTGGGCTCTAGGGTTGTCCTTAAGCAGCCCTCAGGTTTTTGTTGGATTTGAAATAGAGGATGTTTAGCCAATTTGATTTAAAATCCACCCTCAACAAGGTCTGGAGTTCAGAAAATGGTGGTGTTTTTAATATGGTCAGCAATGGTATCTGTGCTTCTTTCTTTGCCCTAAAAAACTTCTTATGTTTCTTTCCCCCATTATAGACCCCAAGGTGGCAAGAGCTGAATTCCTCCAAAGGAAAATTCCTGCAGCAGGGTACAATGGAGAAAAGAAATCCAAAAGCAGTTGTTGGGTTGTATTTGGTGCGACTCATAACCACTGGAGGGAATGTAGGAGGCATGCCCATAGGGAGGGCCAAGAACGAACAATGGATAAAGAGATGATCATAAGTCTCTTCCGCCTTTACAAAGAATGCGTCGATTCGAGAGGCAAGAGTGTTCTTTGTAGTTGGTCCACTGCTAAAGTTCAGAGGTGTAGACACACCCACTGAAATTTTGGCTAAGGGAATCACCATTAATCTGGAGTCTTGAACATTACAAACCACATTAGCTCGGTAAACCTTAGGTGACCTTAATCAGTACTCCACAATCCTTAGGAAACTTCACATCAGACCCCAAGTTGAGTCAGAATTGAACTGGACCTGCATTAGAACATAGTATAAAAGAACCTGAATCAGACCTGCATTAGAACATAGTATAGAAGAACCGGCATGATTCAGGAGAAAATTGAGCCATAAAGGTACTAGCAAGATGGGGCGCGCCACTGCCTAATTAAAGTTTCCAAAAAAATTTACTTGTTATGATCAAAGGTTCTGGAACTTCTGGAGGTACCCTTGGATTGATTTTTTACCAAAATTTGACCAGTCAACCAGTCAAACCCTATCATCAAGCCTTAAGATAGATCTAGAAGTCCAAACCCCAATCGAATTAGTGCCCAACCAAAGGCCCATATAAACCCCCCTCTTAGCCTCCCCTAATTCATAACCTGAAATCCATAGAAAATCCTAGTAGAATAACCAAAAATCTCTTAAAGACCTTCAAGCCTTAGGATCTTCAAACCTTAGAATTAGAAACCTAAAATCCATAGAAAATCCTAGGAAAATAAACTAAAAATCCCATAATTAAGATCCAAGAAGCATGCTCAGAAATTAGAGTAAATCCCTTAGGCCCTAGAAACCTAGTGAACCCCATAGCTTTCACCTTCCTTAGCACCTTCATAGCCATTAGAGTTTAGGAAAACCTTGGAAAACCGTAGGATTAGAATTCCTAAGCCAAACTTCCAAACTAATTCTCAGCAAAAGCTTCCAACAGGAAAAGGGTGTGCAAGGAAGAAGGGCCTGATCCAAGCCCCCAACTTCGGGTTCCGATTTCCTAATAAGTACTTATTCTCTTTCTTTTTAGTTAATTATTTCTTCTCCATTTTAGTTTTATTTCCTAGATTAAATCATTGGATTTGGCTTTGGCGCATAAAACTCAGTTGTCGCTACCAGTAGTTCTCAGAGAGGGTTGATTTTTTGATATCAGGATTGAATCCTCATGATTTTTACCAATTATAAATTTTAACGTTTAAAGCATAAATCCAGGGAGGTTTCATCTGAGATCTCTTCAAATTTGGCTGTAAAAGAGAGATCATAATCCAACCCTAGGTTTGTTCTCAAAGGGAGATGGGAGCAAGCCACACTTTGTTGTGCATTGATGGTGCTTGTGTTGGGTCCATGGCATGGTAGGAGGAGACCGGGATGTTGCCTGAACGAGAAAGGGTCCAAATGACTTTGACATCTTCCGTCTCGGTCAGAAAGAGATGTTGGAGGAGATGAAGCATGTAGAGGAGATTGTTAATTTGTTGTTCAAAGAGGGCTCCCTTGAATCTAGAACCATACTATTATATGATTATTAGTTTCACCAGAAAAGGCCATAGTGGCGTTAGGATTGGATGTAACACTGAAAAGGCCGGGCTAGAGCATTTGTAGTGGTTGTTTACCTATCCAAAGATCACATTGGAACTACACCTTCCTCCAATCATTACTTTACATCTTATATTCTCCATGAATTTCTAACATTTAACAAGAATTCTCTTCCAAACCCTTGAGGTTTACTTGAAAACATTTCCCTCCTTGGAACAGTCTAGATATGGATTGGCCAAAAACTCATTGCCACGATGGCAAAGAGGAAAAGGTGAGAGTGGGATGCCTAGTCTGATGCCTCTAAAAGGCTAAAATATCTTAGACGGATGCCATTGATGAGGACAAAGGAGCCCATTGAAGTGCAACCTTGTATCCACTTTCTCACCTCCGAAACAAATCTTGTTGAGCAAATCCCCATGGAGGTTCCAGTGGATACAGTTGTAGGCTTTCTCTCAATCCAATTGAAGGATAAGACCAAGGTCCTTGTTGAGGTGTCTAGAGTGAATTACCTCATGAGCGGTGAGAACCCCATCAAGTACTGGTATGATTTTAACGTAGTCAATTTGGTTAGGAGAAATGACATGTTCCATAACCTCTTGTAGCCATAAGGCTTAACCCTTATTCCAGAAGTTTGAACGACAAGTTCAATCAATGTTTCAAAAAGAAGCCCACCTAGCGCCTAGGTGGGACAGGGGGCTGGGCAAGTTGCCCATGCCTAGGCGGCCCTTTTGGGCGTTCGGTCCATGGATGCCCACCGAGGCCTAGTGCCTAGCCCTAGGCAGGCGCCCAAGGACCGTGCCTATCCAAGGGTGAAAATGCCCCCGTATAAGGACATTTTTGTTCTTTTCCCCCAAAATAAGGGGTGGAGGGTGTGTGTGTGTGCGCGCGAGGGGGGGGGTGGGGGGGGGGTGGGGGGGG